TTATTTAAAAAGAATCGAGGGTGCTTAGGGCATATACCATCAGACGTCAAATACTTTCATATCCTGTGATGTTTCTTGCTTTTACTCAGGTTGTTACTTCTGTCTGGAATCTTTTTCTTTTCCTAACCTCCTTGCACTTGGCCAATACCTAATCTTTTAAGACTCACTTCAGCAGGTGCCCTTTCTAGCAAGTCTTTCCTGTCACTCCTGTATTGGGTTTAGTGCACCTACTCTGTCTTCCAGAAACCCTTTGTTCATACCTCTTGTTGCACCAGTCCCATTTATATTGCTGTTACCTGTCACAGGTTTGTTAAATTGCTGCTCTCTCCTTTTGAGCTAGAAGATCCTTGATACCAGCGTTTTTGATCATTTATCTTTGTGTACTTAGTATTTACCGAGCAGTGCCTGTCACATTAAATATGCTCAGCAAATTTTTTTTCTTTTACTTTTTTTGGATTGAATTTTTACTCCAGTAAAAAGTGAAGGAATAAATCCTTAAAGGTAAGTGATACTAATTTTTGTTTTTTTAAAATTTGGTCATTAGAAGGAGTTTCTTCTCTTCCCCCCAATACTTCTTAATTAGGGTTTTCAGAAAGAGAACTGTTGTTACCTTCATCATTTGGGCCCAGATCTGTTCTTGCTTGGATATTGTACTTGATTTTTAGTGATGTTTTACAGAAGATTGTTTGAAGTTTTGCTAGGATAAAATCTATAAATTCTCATATAATGATTTCCTTTGGTGATTCTTGCTAGATGACGTTTTAGATCTCTGCAGTTATTTCTGCTAGATGGCCTTGTGATTGACTTTCACAAAGAAGTTACGGGATAGTTTTTTTTTTTTTACAGGTGAGGGCAAGGATTCTTTTTTGGATTACTGATTGAACTATTATGTATTTCATCCACAGACAGTTGTAGATTTCTTGGGAAGTACATATCTTCTTGGGATGATGGTAGCACTGTTAGAGCTGAAAACCTTTAGAAAACGTTGAGAGGCCAATTTTGTCAGCTTTGCTTTAGATACAGGTGTTTCTTTTCATGTTGATTATCATTCTCCTCTTTTGTAGCGTGCAGAAGCTATAAAATAGATGTTGAGGAGCAAAACCCTTCACATTTTAGAAACAAAAATTTATTTTATTTTGTAATGAGTGTTTTTTTTTTTTTCCCCTCATATGAGGAAAATAACCTTTCAAGTATATTGTAGGAGTTGTTAAATAATTCACTGTTAATGTTTTCAGTGCCAACACTAACAGAAGGAGATCCCAGTTCTGAAGTAGGTGGCATTCCAAGAGTTTATTTCAAGTGTGGGAGAGTAACAAAAACATGACAGACATGACCTTTACTCGGTGAGGATTCTACCCACTCAGCACTTTGGAGACCTCATGCACCTCGGAGCATATTAGAAGGGTCTTCTCTCTCCACAATCCCCCAAACCTTGCATCTTTGCCTTCAGCCCCTTTGTTATTTAACCTTGTTTGGAAATAGATGATCCAGGCTAGAGCTTTGTTTGAAAGTGTTTTATTAGTTTTAGCATATTACTGCCAGTATTCTCAAGAGCTGGACTGGATATATTAACCTGTTTATTTTTATCACAAACAAAATGATAGAGGAGAAATAAGGAAACATGACCATCATCTTGCTTTTTTGAGGGTGAGGGGTTGTAAAGGGCATCAGAATTGGGCTGTCAGTTATGTTAAGTATATTTAAAAAGAGCTGTCTTAGAGGAAGAAAATTGTTGTTTTTTCATCCACTGATATAACTGAAATTTGTACTTCGACATTAATTTTTTTTTTTAATGTATCACAAACAGCATTTATTTTCTGCCATCTTGTTGAAGATTTTTTTTTCTCTTTCATTTTCATGCCTACCTTTGAAATTTCTTAGGGAAAACAACAATAAACTGTAAGTAATCACATTAACTTTAAATTGAGTGTTCTTTTTCTTGTTTTCTGGTTTACACTTTTTTTTCTGTAGTCCCAGTTTAATAGATTTTAAACAATCTGTGACTTGCTTTTGACACATCTCTTTTTTGTGCTTTTGTCAGATGAGATAGCAAAGAAGATGTGATTATTTCAAAAATTATTGTTTTTTTCAATAATATTCTTTAGTTCTTTCTAAAGCAAGTGTAGATGTAGATTTGTGAATGCCTATTTGGAGGCTACTGGGTCAGTTTATCTAAGATAGAGATCCATTTTTTAATTGGGAATAATCAATTATTCATCCTTTATTCCAGGCAGTGAATTTTATCTCTTGGGTTTACAGCTAAAATAAAATAGGTTTTGCAAATAGACCATCTATATAGAAGAAAGAATATAAACTAATCATTTTAAATTTATTACCAGTTCCCATACTATGACCAAATGAAATTTGATAATGTGTTAAAAAATCTCTTTATGTCTGACTCCCACTAATTATAATGAAGAGGTTATTCATGGGTGCCTTAGTATTAGAATGGATTTGGAGTTTGGGCAACAGATGTGCTAGTTGGTCTGAAGAAGGATGTTCAAGGATAAAGCAGTATTTTTACAGCTTAGAGAGAGAATGAAGTAAAAAGGCTAGTCAGAAAAAAATTACACAGAGTAAGTTGAGGGGTTTCAGAGTAACAGTTTTGACAATCCCAGTAACAGTACTTGTACATTTGGGTATGTGAGAAGGAAGAAGGGTAGAAAGTAAGTTTTTGGTAACTCAGGGATAAATATTTCTTCCTCCTTAAATGATAAAACCAAAAAACGAACCTGTTGCAGTCAAGTTGATTCCAACTCATAGCAACCCTATAGCACAGAGTAGAACCATAGGGTTCCCAAGGAGTAGCTTGGTGGATTCAAACTGCCAACCTTTTGGTTAGTAGTCTGAGCTCTTACATGATAATGCTCTTTAAAAGAGTTACTCTCTAATGACAGATGCTAGAGCCCTTTCTTTTAGGGAATGTCTACTTGTTTCCTTATTTAACTTTACATTTATTTACATTTTGTTTCAATAAGATTTTATAATTTTCCCCATGTCATGCATATTTTTTATTGTTGTAAAAATATGTATAACCCAACATTTGCCAGTTTAATGTTTTCACATGTACAATTTAGTGACATCAATTACATTAAGCATGTGCAACCATCACCAATATCCATTGCCAAGGGAACACCTACTTTTTAAAATCAATATTGCTCTGTACCAATTAGAATTAGGTTAGGCTGAGAGAGACACACAGCAGTCTTAAACAAGTCAGAAGTTTGTTTCTATTTCATGTGCAAAGTCTGGTGGAGGGTAGCCTGGCAGCTCCACTGTCATTCGTGTCTCTAGACTCACTCATCTTTGTGCTCTACTCCATGAGGCTACCATTGTCAAGGCACCCTCACAATCCAAGATTGTGACCAATGGACGGAGATTAAGTCTCAATTACAGACGAGAAAAGGAAGGAGGGAAAAGTAGAAGTGCAAAACGGGGTCCTTCTTAGAGTTAATTCCCTTTGAGCATCCTTCACGTACATCTCATTACCCAGAATTTAGTCACATGACAACACCTAGCTCCAAGGAAGGCTGGGAAATGGAGTCTTTTGCTCCACGAGGCATAAAATAAGACAGTAATTTTCCACTTAGGGAAAATAATCTTTCCAGCTTACTGAGGTGGTTGTTAAGTAATTCACTATTATGTTACAAAGGTACAAATTGAGGTGATTTTCCACAGTGGAAGGTAAGGCACAGTCTCAGTCTTAATCTCTGAGGAGGCCAGTGGTGTTGCTCTGGGGTGTTTTCAATGGCGTATTTCATTCAAAATAAAGAAGCCCAATACAGCCACAATAATAATAATACCTTGATAGTAGAAATGGTCCCCGATATTAAAACATCAATCATTTGTTTTGAACAGTAGCACCAGTGAATGTTTGGAAGTCTTGAAAGTTTAGGTTAAGTTTAAGAACTTCAACCAATAAATTATCTTTTGAGTTTGATTTTCCAGTGCTGTAATTATTATTTTGAAAGTTCATGCATATAGCCATTGGCTTCTGGATCTTTTTCTTACCATTTTCCTTTAGTCATATAGAATTCAGTTTGTTATGGGTATTGACTGAAGAGGCACGAGCCTCTTGCACAATTAGTCTGATAGGCTTCTTGGCCTTAAAGGAGTGCATCTTTGAAAGCCTGTTGGCTACCACGGGAATCGGAAGATTCCGTATCTTTGCTTCCTTGGCATGATGGATAAAGCTTTGATTGCTGAGGTTTATGGCATTATAACCTTTACAGAGAAGCTTTTACTTGACAACAATAAACCATAATAACAACGTTAGACTGTGTAAAGTTAGGGTTATTTTGACTATGTACTAATTTAATGTGCTAAAAATATTCCTCCATTTAAAGAAAAGAAAATAAATCAACACTCATGTTTGGTAAACATGGTTTTGTGAGTGGGCATGAATTTTAGGAATCTGAATTTCATTGAGAGTGAGAAGTTGTGAATCTCAACTGAGTATTGCCATTGATATTCTGAGACCAAGTACTGCAGTCTTTAAATTCAACCCATTCAGAATTTCAGCATGTAACTATGAGATTTCCCCTTTTACAAAGGTTACTTGTCTGTCTGTTATAGGATTATAGACGTTTATGGTATGGTAAGAATTGAATGGAAAAAGAAAAAAAAATCTTTGTAAAATTACTTATAGCAGTCAAAGTTATCATTAAAAATTGGATGTTAGAGCAAGAGTTAAAAGAAAATGAAATTAAACCATCACGATAAATCACATTCCTTAAATGATGCTGTTGAATTGGAGGATGAAGTATCTGCTTTATATTCCCATGGTAAAGCCATATGCCCCATGCTTTATTATCCCCGTCTTACTTGGACAAGCCTAGAAAAAGCAGATAGAAGGAATAAACTCAAGCACTTGCTCATAAAGCTGATGTTGGAATGCAGCAGATTTCCTTCAAAGAAGAAAGCAAGAGCAAGGGGAAAGAATCCAGTTCTTTGGTACAAACATTTAGTTGTAATCTCTTATTCTTATTTTAATTTTGTAGAGAATGTCTGAATGTATCCAGATCTCATTTGCTGTTTGTAGAATTGGCATTTACACGGTAAGAAATGTATATTTTTGCAGTACCAAATGTCATGAAAAAGTAAATGAAAGAACCAAATGTTGGAGAACATGTGGAGTGATGGAATTGTCCTACACCGCTAATGGGAGTGTAAATTTGTACGGACACTTTGGAAGATAATAAAAGTTGAGCACAAGTATATCCTATAATGAGTAATTCCATTCTTTGGTATATACCGTAGAGAAATTCTCATGTAATTACAAGAAGATATGTCAGAGAATGTTATTAGCAATAGTATTTATAAAAGCAAAATATTAGAAATAATGTGAATATTTATCAGTAGTAGAATGGATTAATAAATTGTGATATTTTAATTGATTTTATAGATTACCATAAAAATATGAACTAAAAATATATATAATGAGCTACAGTTATACAGTGCAACAATACAGCATGGATGCATCTCAGAAAACAATGTTGAGTGAAAGAAACAAGTCATAGGAAAATATAAGCAGTATGATTTCATTTCTACAAAGTTCAAAACAGCGAAACCAAGCAATGTATTGTTTTAATGTTATATATATTGGTAGATAAGCTATAAAGAAAAGAAGAAATTCAGGTTGTGTTACCTCCAGGGCAGTGGTTCTCACCAGGGTGTGATTTTGCCCTCCAGAAGATATGTGGCACAATGTTGAAAGACGTTTTTGGTAGTCACAACTGAGAGGTGTGTGTGTTTGTGTCTGTGTGTGTGTATGTGTGTGCACGTGTTGTGTATGTGTGTGTGCTACTGGAATCTAGTGGGTAGAGGCCAGAGGTATTGCTAAACATCCTACAGTGCACTGGTTAAGCACTTCAAAATTATCTGACCTAAAATATCAGTAGTGCTAAGGTTGGAAAACCCTGCTTTAGGGCAGTGGAGGGAAGGAAACAGGGTTTTAAATGTTACAGTGATGTTCTAGTCCTTAACTTTAACATTTGGGCACATGGGTGTTTGCTTTATAATTATTCTTTAATCTTTGTATTTGCCTTATACACCCTTTTGTATGTATGATGTATTTCACAACACAGCAAAAAAGGAAATATGTTAAAGCGTTTGAGGATTTTTTTTTTCCACAGGAGTGTGTCATTTGACTCAAATGTCTTGTACTTACCCAATTCTTTATTCAGGAATATGGGGTTGTATCTATGTAGATGTCCATTAAAGAACTTTTCCAGTCTTAAGATTCAATGACAGAATGTCCTGGCTTTTTCCTTTTGAAGGTCTAGAGAGGGGCATCTGAGACTCTGGACCGGAAATACAGTGATGTTTATTTTTGTTTTCTCATCTACCTTGCAGAGAAGAATATGTGTAAGTGGGTACAACAAGTTTAAGGAAATCATTTAAAGTGAATGATATAAGAATTCTGAGTAAATGATATGACTACAGATTATAAATCTCTTGAGGGCAACAAGCTTATTTTGTGTTTGTCCTGCACAATATCTTGTACAATATCTGGCACATGGTAAGTGCTCAATAGCTGTATGCTTCATAATATTAAATTAAGTGAGTACAGTTTCCAGTTTTGCCCTAGTTTGAATTCAGGAAGACACAGAGATTCAAAAAAAATTTTTCTATCTTTTGTGTTAGCTTCTTGTCTCAGATAAGTTTCTTCCTATGCATTTTATGTATTCATTCAGATTCTGGATTTTGTATATATTTGTAATCTCAAAACAAAATTGGGTGATATTTGTCCCCAATTACAAACTCAAACCACTTGCCATTGAGTCAGTTCAGACTCATGGCAGAGTAGAACTGTGGTCCATAGGGTTTTCAGTGGCTGATTTTTCAGTAGTAGCTCACCAGGCCTTTCTTCCGAGGTTCCTCTGGATGAACTTGAACTGCTCAGTTAGCAGCTGAGCACATTAACTGTTTGTAATACCCAGGGATTCCATCCCCATTTAGATAAATAGGTTACTTGGAAGCTAAATGTATGTTTTGTTATTTATATTAAGTTACATTTTATGTTTTCTCCAGTCTTCCAAGAAGCAGATGCCAAGTTAGAATTAGACATAAAACAAAAAAAACAAAAACAAAGAAAAATCCATTGCCATTTAGTCTATTCCAACTCATAGTGACCTGATAAGACAGAGTAGAGCTGCTCCATAGGGTTTCCAAGGCTGTAATATTTACAGAAGCAAACTGCCACTTTCATCCTTGGAGCAGCTGGTGGGTTTGAACTGCTGACCTTCCGGTTAACAGCCAGGTACTTAACTGCTGTGCAACCAAGGCTCCCTGAAATTTGACATACAAGAGGTTAATGAGGTAAATACCTGTGAAGAATAGAAAGAAAGTGAACAAGAGAAGGTGGAGAGAGCTTTCAGATGACATACCGATCTGACACTTATGAAAGGAGAGCCTAAGGAAGGAGGATCGGGTAGATAGCGCCTGAGACCGCATTGCAGTTCTAAGAAAGTCTTAGCTAGGCTGATGGGGACTGCCTGTTAGAGGAGTTCCACGTTGGGCAGGGAAGGCCAGACTCCAGTACTTGTGCACGCTCAGTCACTGGCTGGAAGCAGCCCAGTTGAAGCATGGCCTCAGCCTGGATGCCATGGTGATTCTGAAGTTGTGGCACTGGGGGCTGCTTCTCTAGAAGGGTGATTGAGCCCCATACCTCCATGGCCACTGCAGTGAGTCAACACAATAGAACCTGAGAATACTGCCATACAATAATGTCAGGAATTGTGTTTATTCATCTTTGAATACCTAGCACCGGCCTGGGCCTGGGACCTTGGAAGTGTTCAGTCTCTTATTATTTAATAGTGAAGGTCTGGCTGTGGACTCATTCTAAGGTAGATAAAAATTTTCTCTAAAAGGGGAAGAAAAAAAGATCTTGTGAATTGTAAATAAAGGACATTAGCAAACCAGAACAACTCTTGTTACCTGCTGTTGAAAATAAATGCTTAAGTTCTAAGTAAAACAAAAAGTAGAGGAGGAAATTAAAAAAGATTATAAGTGAGTTTATAGGATGAGACAAACAATGTCAGGTGGTTATCTTGAGTTTTCTTTCTATATGCTTTCAACATAATTATCAAATACCAGCTGATTAAGGAGACAAAAGCCATAGTTTTTGTATATTAGGAATCCGTAATCTAAAATGAGCAAGACCAAAATGGAGTATATTCAGGACAAATACACTGAGAACACTCAAGGAATAAGAGTAAATGTGTTGTTATTTTGCAGGTAAATGTATGCTAATCCATAAGCATTAAGAAGTTTAATAAAGATCATTATTCAGGGACAACAAAGGATGTCCTATGCAGGCCCTCCAAGGTTTGGAGTAGGCAGACCTTTCTTTAGACATTAAAAGACAATGATGCTTATTTAGAGGTCCTTGGGTTGCACAAACGGTTAAGCACTTGACTACTGACTGAAAGATTGGAGGTTTGAACCTACCCAGAGGCACCTTGGAAGAAAGGCCTGACAATTTGCTTCTGAAAGGTCACAGCCTTGAAAAACCCTAAGGAGCAGTTCTACTCTGCACCCATGGAGTCTCCATGAGTTGGAGTTGACTTGACAGCAACTGGTTGGTTTTTAACAGAGGAAAATAATTCCTACTTCAGATTTCTAGATAGGAAACTTTAAGATACAGGTAGAAAAACTTACATATCTTCAGTGGTGGAGTTATAAGTAGACCCCACTGCTACTAAAACCTAGAACAAGTTGAAGCAGAGTGAAGCAGAAAGAAACAGTCTTTAGAACCAAGCATTTGCTCTGAGGAGGTAAGTCTCTTGTACTTCCTGTGCAGCATAGCCCAGGAGACAGTGTGTAATCTCTAGAATGTAATATCGTGATGTATTACAAGGAAGTAATATAGTTTTTGACACAAAAGGAGCCCCGTTCCGTGGATCTAGACTGTTTTGGGTATTGAACAACATTCAGTCAGTTCTGGTTGGGAGGAAGGAGGGGAGGGAAGTTGAAGCCAAGAGTTTTCATTACAACTGTGGTTCTATAATTTTATGAAACACTGGCAATGAAAACAGGCCATGCTTAAGAATGTGATCTTGAATTGAACCTCTGCAGTCAGGTATGGATTAACTCTGGGCCGAAGAGGCTCAGAGGGCATTGCTAAGGACTTCGCTTTTGGAACATCAGGATAAATGCTCTCAAAGGGACCTACATTTGTACCCAAACTTCTCTCAGATAGGAACTGCAACCATCATAGAGACAGAAGCACAGTGGTGGTGGATAGAAGCAGAAAGAGGGTTGGGATGGTAATTAAGCATATAGAGACCTTTCTGTTGGATTGTGAACCCCACTGACCAAAACTGGAAGTTGGGAGGCCCAGATGAACGAAGCTAGGGTCAGTTAATCTTGCATGTCTCCAGGAACTGTATTTTTAAAGTTCACAGAAGCCACAGTGATTGTTTACCTCTTTATACTCAATGGCTGCATGAACTAAAATTTAACCAAGTGATGAATGAGATTTGACTAAACAATACCGGTAAAATACTAAGTATAGTCACAGATTTGGTTAGTAATAAGAGCTTAAAGAACTCTTTAAATTCTTCTTTTGCCTTTGCAGTAATTATTAAATGATATCTTATTTGCAGAGAAAAAAATCATCCTTCAAAGCAGTAACAGAGTTTGTAAAGATGGCATCCAGTTTTGTTCTGTGATAAAGATTCACTCAATAGTAGGTAGTGACATCCATTTATCTAGCCATAAAATTTGCTTGTATCTGCCACACTTTTCCTATACAACTCTGTGATCTTTTTTGGGGGGAAACTGGGAAGAGCTACTTTTGTTATTACAATAAAATGGCAAAACAATTGTGCATTATTATTAACAATACTACTAATAATAGTGTATATCATTAAAACTGCTAATTTCAGTCTAGGTGTTTAAGTCTGGACAAGTCTTACCCTAAGCCTCAGTCAGATTCTTGCAGTGCATAGAGCTACATGTAAGGACATTGTGTTAGTTTTCTGTTGTTGCTGTAACAAATTGCCACAAACATAGTGGCTTTAAACAACACAAATTTATTCTTGCAGTTCTGGAG